AACGACGTCGGCCACGACGACGACGCCGACGACGACGACGACGACGACGACGACGATGGCGACGAGGAAGCACCTCCAGCGCGACAACTGGGAGCCCAGAGTTGCGAGGATGTGTCAGGCGAAACGGCATTTCGGAGCCCAGAGTCGGGAAGATGCCCCTGGCGCAGTCGGCCAGACCACCTCGCGCGCGGCACCTCGGATATCAGAGCTGCGAGGAAGGCCGCAGGCAGAAAAGGCTGGACCATTTCAGGTCTCCAAGCCCAGAGTCGCGAGGATGTCCCGGGGGGTGCGGGGATGTCACGGGCGAACTTGGTTGGACCACCTCGCGTGCAGCATCTTGGAGCCCTGGTGTTGCGAGGATGTCTCAGGCGCAATTGGCTGGGCAACCTCTTGCGCGGCATCCGCGAGCTCCGAGTGGCGAGGATGGCGCAGGCAAAATTGGCTGGGCCACCTTTAAGTCCGGACACTTCGGAACCCCATCGAAGATGTCCCAGGCGAAAAGGGCCAGACCACCTCACGTCACGGTATCTCTCAGCCCAAAGTTGTAAGATTGTCTGAAGCGAGACGGGCTGGACCATCTCAGATCAGGGCATCTTTGAGCGCAAAATTGCGAAGATGTCTCCAGCGAAACGGGCCAGAATGTTTCTTGCGTTGGTAAGTTCCGGGCGAGAATGCGTAGAATGGAAGGCCCCAAGAACAGAGCTGCCGTGGAGTGGTGGAGGCGAGGGGGGGGGCGTTGGTAGGTTCCGGGCGAGAATTTGTGGACGGAGCTGCCGTGTGGGGAGGGGGTCTGGGACGTGGTGGAGGCGGGGGGTGGGGCGTGGGTAGGTTCCGGGTGACAATTTGTAGGTTCGGGGGTCTCAAGAGTAGAGCTGCCGCGGGGAGGGGGGGTGCCGGGACGTGGTGGCGGCGGGGAGGAGGGCGTCGTAGAGTCCGGGCGAGAATTTGTAGGTTGGGGGGGTCCAAGAACAGAGCTGCCGTGGGGGAGGTGGGGGGGCCGGGACGTGGTGGAGGCGGGGAGGGGGCGTTGGTAGGTTCCGGACGAGAATTTGCGGGCTGGGGGGTCCCAAGAACAGAGCTGGGGGGCTGGGGCGTGGTGGACGCGGGGGGGGGCGTTGGTAGGTTCCGGGCGGGAATTTGTGGGTTGGGGGGTCCCAAGAACAGAGCTGCCGTGGGGGAGGACGTGCCGGGGCGTGGTGGAGGCGGGGGGGGGGCGTGGGTAGGTTCCGGGCGAGAATTTGTGGGTTGGGGGGTCCCAAACACAGAGCTGTCGAGGGGGTGTGTGTGCCGGGACGGGGTGGAGGCGGGAGGGGGGCGTTGGTAGGTCCCCAGCGAGAATTTGTGGGTTGGGGGGCCCCAAAAACAGCTGCCGTGGGGGGGGCGGGGGTGCCGGGGACGTGGTGGAGGCGGGGGGGGGGGGGGCGTTGGTAGGTTCCGGGCGAGAATTTGTAGGCCGTGGGGGGGGGGATATTGGGGGTGGTGACGGGGGCGGGGGGGGGGGGGCGTTGGTAGGTTCCGGGTGAGAATTTGCGGGCTGGGGGGTCCCAAGAACAGAGCTGCCGCGGGGGGAGGAGGTGCCGGGACGTGGTGGAGGCGGGGGGGGGGCGTTGTTGGTAGGTTCCGGCCGAGATTTTGTGGGTTGGGGGGTCCCAAGAACAGAGTTGGCGCTTGGGAGGGGGGGTGCCAGGGCGTGGTGGAGGCGGGGGGGGGGCGTTGGTAGGTTCCGGGCGAGAATTTGTGGATTGGGGGGTCCCAAGAACAGAGCTGCCGTGGGAATCCCGTGGGCCGCGAGCGAAAACTTTAACCTAACACAGCGGCCTTCCTACGAAAACCTTATCCAAACTCACTGGCCTCCCTACGACAACCTTATCCTGACGCCAGGCTTGTGCGCAAATTCTCCGAATCCAGTTGGCTGCGAGCGAAAACTTTATCCTAATTCAGCGGCCTCCCTACGAAAACCTTATCCTAATTCACTGGCCTCCCTACGAAAACCTTATCCCAACGCCAGGCTTGTGCGCGAAATGCTTCTCCGAATCCATTGGGCTGCGAGCGAAAACCTCATCCTAACTCAGCGGCCTCCATGCGAAAACCTTATCCTAACTCACTGGCCTCCCTACGAAAACCTTATCCTAACGCCAGGTTTGCGCGCGAAATGCTTCTCCGAATCCATGGGGCTGCGAGCGAAAACCTCATCCTAACTCAGCGGCCTCCCTACGAACACCTTATCCTAACTCACTGGCCTCCCTACGAAAACCTTACCCTAACACCAGGCTGGCGCGCCATATGCTTCTCCGAATCCATTGGGCTGCGAGCGAAAACCTTATCCTAACTCAGCGGCCTCCCTACGAAAACCTTATCCTAACTCACTGGCCTCCCTACGACAACCTTACCCTGACACCAGGCTGGCGCGCCATATACTTCGCCGAAACCATTGAGCTGCGAGCGGAAACCTCATCCTAACTCAGCGGCCTCCTTACGAAAACCTTATCCAAACTCACTGGCCTCCCTACGAAAACCTTATCCTCACACAAGGTTTGCGCGCGAAATACTTCGCCGAATCCATTGAGCTGCGAGCGGAAACCTCATCCTAACTCAGCGGCCTCCTTACGAAAACCTTCTCCTAACTCACTGGCCTCCCTACGACAACCTCATCCTAACGCCAGGCTTGTGCGCGAAATGCTTCTCCGAATCCATTGGGCTGCGAGCGAAAACTTATCCTGATTCAGCGGCCTCCCTACGAAAACCTTATCCTGACTCAATGGCCGCCCTACGAAAACCTTTTCCTAAGCTAGGAGCTCTTGAAAAGTGTTCCTGGTATTAATACTGTAATATTAAACGTCTCAACAGTACTTCTTCCGACGGTGTGTACTCGAAGACCAGCGCCAGCGAACCAGGGGGGTGGCGCCGCCAGGCGCGCGTGGGCGGGCCCGGGGAAGGCCAGGCACAGTCGCTTCAAAAGAGGGGGTGGAGGGGGGGGCGCCGGGGAAAAACAAAAACAACTCGTTGCTGCGAGAGATCGGTGTCCGAAAACCAGCGCCAAAAGCATTAACAAAACATTGGAATACCCACGTGTGCTTGACTGTGCGCGACCTTCCTCGGAAAATCCGCGCCCGAGAAAGCAACAACAAACTTCCATGTGCCCGACTGTGTATGGCTGCTTCAGGGAATTAAGAAAATTCGCTCGGAAAAAAAGCTTAATGCGATTTGAGAAGAGAGACCTGGCCATCTCTATCCCGATGCCGATTATCTGAGGACGCACCCCCAAGATGGTCAGTCTTAGGGATGATCGGCCACGCGCAGAAGGGTGCAGGGGGAGGGGGAAGGCTTCTCAGAAGCACCCCTGCCTCTTAGAAGGCGCGGGTCGTGTCTACAGATGTAAGGCCGACGCCTTTTAAGAATCAGCCTCCTCCTAAGAAGCCTACCCCCCTCCCCATCCCCCTTGTGCGCGCCGCCAGGGATACACGTACGGCAGGTTCGCGTCGTGTCGAACAGTTGTGAACGATTGGACGTTGAGGGAACGGCCGATCGTTCAAGGTTGAAGGATCCATGTGGTGTCAGAAACCAACGTTGGGGTCGTCACGACGCGAACTTGCCGTAAACTCGAGGCTGGCTGCAGCTCGCGAGACCATCAACAACCGACCCGCAGTGAAACGTGGGTCCGGGAGAGCGCGCCGCAGGGTCCAGGACGGGTGCTTCCTCCACGACCCCACTTCTCTCGGGGGTTCGTTGCCGTCGATCGTTGAACGTAGTTATTTCTGGATTCACAGATTCCAAGTGTGACCTCATCTGATTTTCGTTCGGAGTTCGTGTTACACTTCGGCAGGGGCGGGGCGGGAGATGGTGGGAGCAGAAGCGGGGGAGGAGGCTTGGCGCCATCAGTGTCGCGAGCCATTCCAGGCCGATTTGGACCGAGGCATCTTCCTCCTCCGTCCGACTCCTCTTCCTCTTTATCCCTCCCCTCCTCCGCCCTCTTCCTCCTCTTCCTCTTTATACAGCCAGATCGGCAAGCGAGCAAGACGACGACTGGGTCAATTCGAACAGGCTCACCTAGATGTCTGCGTCCAGCAAGTCTTCGAAGACCTTCTCCAGAAAAGGGCGTGGCAAGGTCTACCGCTGGGATCAGTGTGGCTGGACCTCCAGTTTCAATCCGACGGGGACGCGGGGCCCAAATTGTATTTGGGAATTGCCACCCGAGTTCTTGCGCGAACATGGGAACATTAATCTTCCGTTACTGTGGCAACTAGGGCACTCCGTCCCCGACGGGCGCATCATCATCAGCATCAGCAGCAGCAGCATTATCATCATCATCGTCGTCGTCATCATCGTCATCGTTATCATCATCATCATCATCATCATCATCATCATCATCATCATCATCATCATCATCATCATCATCATCATGAGCATCATCATCAATATCGTCAGCATCATTAATATTATCATCATTATCCTCACCATCATCATCATTACCATCATCACCATCATCAGCATCATCATTATTATCATCATTATCAGTATCAGCATCATCTTCATAAGCATAACCATCATCATCGTCATCAGCATCATACTCATCACCAACGTCAGCATCATCATCACCAACAACATCAGCATCATCGTCATCATCAGCATCACCACCACCATTATCATCATCATCACCATCATCATCAGCATTCTCATCATATTCATCGTCATCTCCATCTTCATCACTAAAATCAGCATCATCACCATCTTCACCATCAGCATCAACACCACCATCATTATCATCATCTTTATCAGCATCAACACCATCGTCATCATCGCCATCATCATCGTCATCATCATCATCATCATCATCATCATCATCATCATCATCATCCATCCTCATCACCATATCATCATCATCATCACCATCATCATCATTATCATCATCATCATCATCATCATCATCATCATCGTTATCGTTATCGTTATCGTTATCGTCATCGTCCGCCCTCACTCCTCCTTCCGCTCCACGCGCGGAGGAGACAAAGAGCCAGATCGACCAGATGACGCAGTTCATCATGAACGAGGCTCTCCTCCTCGGAGGGGGAGGTCGGATCCGTAGATGCTTCCGCTGGGCGGGGGGGACGGCCGAGGACGGAAACGGAAAACCGATACTGTGAAGGCGAGGGGGACGGACCGAAAAAGAACACTGGAAAGTCGCAAGCAGCAAGCGATACGCATAGGAGGGGCGGACCAGACAGAAACGAAAAACAGAAACCAGAAAGCGGGGAAGACGAATAGGAGGGAGGGCCGAACCAGAAAGCGGAAACCAGATAACGGGAATCGGAACACAGGGTAAGCGAGGAGGAAGAGGAGGATGAGGGAGGGCTGAACCAGAAATCGCAAAACGGTTAATGAAAATCGCAAGACTTGGAAGACGAGGAGGCGGGAGGGCCGATTTGGAAAATGGAGATCGAAGCCGTAAAGCGAACACTGGAAATTCGAAGGCGGAACCAGAAATGGGAAATCAGAGGCCGGGAAGCGGCAATTGGAAGATGCGATCCAGCAATGTTATACGGGAGTTGAGACACGGCAGTACGGAAACGGATTATGGAAAGGGGAAGCCAGAAAACGGACACCAGAGAATTTGGAAACGGACAGGGAGACCTGAAAACGGAAAGCGGAATTTGGAAGTGCGGAGACACGAAAACAGACATCGCAAATTCGACACCGAAAAGCGGACACCGGGAAACGGACATCGGCCGTCGGAAGGACAAATCATGAAAATGTGAAGCGCGAGCCAGAAACAGGTTGTTGTAGCTTCGCAGTGTTACGACACCTGTGAGTACATGAAGTTTACTAGTTGCGGGAATCTCGCAAGTTCCAGGAGACTTGTACATCAGGCGGCCTTGCGTGCCCTCCCGCCACGATCCCGCCCCACCTGGGTGTGTTGCCATAACTTGCGCATTGCAGAAACCTTGCCAAGGAGGCGATCTTGCACGTCTTTCCACCCCGTCCCGCCCCCCGCGCCACCTGGGAGTTTCTTGCACCCCGCGAGCTACAAGAAGTTTACGAGTCACAGTAAATCAGCAGTTCACCGGAAACAGGTAGTGAGCCAATGGGCGAGCTTGCACCTTCTTCCGCCCAGCCGCCGACTTGAGGGGTACGTACTTGTAACTCGCGAGTTAGATGCAACTCGCCACGAGGGAAGGCGAGGGAACAGCAGCAGGAGGATAACCACGATGAGAGTGAGAGAGAGATGAGATATATATATATATATATAGAGAGAGAGAGAGAGAAGAGAGGGAGGGAGGACAACCACAGGGAGGATAAGCACGAGGAGGATAACCACGAGGGATGATAACCACGAGGAGGAGGACCAAGAGGGAGAACGAGTAGAGAGTATGAGGAAGGATAGGGAACGAGGAACAGGGAGCGGAGGTGAGGTCGATCGTTAAGGCGTGGAAGGTGGTGGTCGATCACTCTCGTGGGCTTCCAGCGGCTCAGAAGGTACGACGCGTACACGAGGGCCCATGTCGAATGTTGTGCTATATTTGTTGGAAGCGGGATGGTTGACAACCTCGCCGACGGAGTGAGCCAGCCGTTCCTAGCAACGGCGCCCTCACCTCGCACGCATGGGTCTTCTGGAGGAGGAGTTCGCGGGCCTTGATCAGGCGGGCCCGCTTTTGGACGAGCTGGAGCTGACCTTCGAATTCAATCGTTGACGTGAAGCGGCGGAACTATTTTGTGCTGCCGGTATTGGGCACGGGGTCCAACAATCCAATCTGTCCCGTTGGAACACTACACTGTGTCCGACCTGCTAATGTACGGAGATGGCGACGATGTTCGAGTTGTTAGTCGCCATTGCCACGGGAAGATATTGGACACGGCAGTGGGGTTATTAAATGGAGTTGTGTAGAAGCGAACGCTGTTTGATCTTCGTCGAGAGTCCAGGCTCTCCGCTGCGCAGGTGTTGGATTCGTTAATAAATGTGCAATCGATGGTTTACTATGATTCCAATGGCCTGGTCTTTGAGGGCATCGCCGATCATGAAGCAGTCCTTGATGTTGGGACGATGGGCTTGATCCCCAAGGCCTGGACGGTTGTTGGATTTCCGCCTTCGGCCGAGCCGTGGGAAGGCAATCATTGAGTTGGTGGAGCTTTATGTAGGGCCTGCATGCCTTGTCGCAGGACCCCCTGAAGCCCCTCTCGTCGTTTTTGAGGGACGCGTCTGGGGGGGGAGGTACGCGCACGACGATAGTAAGTTCAGGAGAGGAAGGTCGGCTACTCGGTGTATGTTAGCGTCTCTCCTTTGGTCCTCGGGCCTCATATCTTGGGGTTTCTTACGGGCCTTTGTCAGATTGTTCCTCGCTCTGAGCTCTGGGCTTCTGAATGGGCCCCCCAGACTACCGGTCGTTGGTGTACTTTCTGTAACTGACTGTGCCGAGAGTGCTCGGGGCTGGTATGCGAGCGCGTTGCGCCAGCCGATGGATCGGAGGTTGGGGGGTGAGATCGCAGTGGAACGGAGACCCCCAAACCGGGAAATCGTTTCGTTACGTTCGTGTCGTGCGTGCGGGCGAGGCGAAGCTGCGTGGGCGCGCGAGAGGCATGAACCCACCGTTGTTAGGGAGAAGTCAAGACAAATGATTCTCCCCCGTCCGTCCGTCCGGCGGTGGCTCGCGGTGTCCCGCGGTGTCCAGTGGTGTCCCGTGGTGTCCGCCGTTGCTAGGGCGAAGTCAAGACAAATGATTCTCCCCCGTCAGTCCGTCCGTCCGGCGGTGGCTCGCGGAGTCCCGCTTGGCCTTCAGGTAATGGGGGGTCATAGATGGCGGGGGTCAGAATGGTAACTTTTTATTCCATTTTTGGTCATTATAAGGTACTGTTTTGGACTGGCACATTTTCAACGTTTTTGGTCTTACCGAAAGGAGCGCGTAGTTACGGGTGCAAGGTACGAAGAGTTGTATCATCTTCCTCCTCGTGTTCTTTGTCCTGAGCCCTAAGCCCTGACGCCCTCAGCCCTCAGCCCGAGCCCTGACGCCCTGACGCCCTAAGTCCAGGAGCCCGACGCCCTGAGCCCTCAGCCCTATGCCCTGATCCCTGAAACCTAAGCCATAGAACACAAATCCCAGAGCCCTAAGCCCGACGCCCTAAGCCCCAAGCCCTAAACAGTCGCGCGCCCTCAGCCCTCAGCCCATTTTCCTAAGCCCTAAGACCTAGCCCCTGAGCCCTAAGCCCTACGAGCCCTGACCCCTGGGCCCTCAGCCCTAACCCCAAACCTCTAAGCCCTGGGCCCTAAGCTCTCAGCCCTAAACCCAAACCCCTAAGCCCCAAGCCCTAAGCCCTGCACCCTAAGCCCCCAGCTTGAAGTCATAATGCTTAACCCTTAGGCCCTGAGCCCTAAGCCCAAAACTCGAACCTTTGAGCCCTAACCCCTAAGGTCTAAGCCCGAAGCCCAACGACCAAAGCCCTATGCCCTACGCCCTTAACACCTACGCCATAAGCCCTGGGCATTAAGCCCTAGCCCCTGAGGCCTGCCCTGAGCCAGAGCCCCCAAGCCCGAAGCGTAGAACCCAAACCACTGCAACCTCAGCTCTAAGCCATTAGCCCTGATTCCTATTCCCAAAATCTTAAACGTCGAAACCCCAACCACTGAAGCCTGAGCCGGAAGCCCCAAGCCCCGAGCCATAACTCCTCACCCTACGGCCTAAGCCCGCAACCCCCAAACCCCAGACCTTGATACGGAGCCCTAAGCCCGATGCCTTATGCCCTCAGCCCTGAGTCCTGATCACTAAACCTTGAAACCTAACCCCAACACCCCAACTCCTGAACCCTGATACCGAAGCCCCATGCCCTGACCCCGAAGCCCAAAGCCCTGAACCCTCAGCCCTAAGCCCAACCCCTAGGCCCTAAGCCCTGACCGCTGAACCCTAAGCCCGACGCCCTAAGCCCGAAGAGATGAGCTATGAATCCAAAGCCTTGTCCCCATGAGCCCTAAGCCCTGCGGCCTCGGTCCTAGACCCTGATGCCTAAGCCCCATGACCTAATCCCTAAAGCCTAAAGCCCTGAACCCGAAGACCTAAACCCTAGGCCCTAATGCCGAAGCCCTACGCCCTACGCCCTGAACCCTAACACTTAAGCCTAACCGCCGAAACCTTCAAACTTGATGCATTAACCCCCTAAGAGTAAATATTCTCCTCTCCGCCTAATACTCAATTAGAAGATAACTTAGATTGCACGCAACGAATTGTCCGCGTGTACTGACGCTGCATTTCTGCAGCTGTGTTACTGCTCAAACCAGCCGAACTCGGCTGGCAGGAGAGAAAAGGAGCGCGCTGGGGGGCGCGGGCGATCTGTCGTCGTCCGTCCTCGGCCTTTCTCCTCCCTTCCTATTCCTGATCGAGTGGTTTAGCTTGACGGATATCTGTCTTATCAATGTCTCATCTCGCCTCCGCTCTCCCTGAGCAAAGTGAACGTGAGATCTTATTTCCTTCGTCATCTCACCCCGATTCTCAGAGGAAAGACCGGTTATCAGCCGAAGCGCGCGACTCAGTCGACGCGGGGCCATCAGATGCAAAAGGGAATCTTCAAGTCGTGCCCCGCGATTCAGTCGCTGCGGGAGAGAGCTGTGATAAGACGAACATCGCGTCTAATATTTCGAGAAGCGCAGATTGGCGCGTTGAACAACATGATGGACACGAAACAGATACAATCGGTCCTATTCAAGACCGAATCCCTCCTTCGACAATCGCCGATCGGGTCACCAGGGGGAGAAATACTGATGGGATAACCGAAATGTCGGTAGACATGCCCACAGTAGGGGCTCCGACAGGTGATCGCGAGCAAACCCCTGACCCTCACGGGCGAGAAGGCGTCGCGCCAAGGCCCAGAAGAAGTGCATTCTCTTCCAGGTTAAGTGCCAACTCGACGGGGTCGATAAGTCCCATTCAGAATGCTCCGCAGACTATCGCCATTGCCGCTGGCGAAGCCAGCCGGCCAGGAGAAGCCCAAGGGAATCCGAGCGCGTATCCTAATATCCCCATAGATTGGGTGGGTATGCACATTACTGCCCCAACCCCTATAGCACTTA